CTGTATATATAATTGCTTATGATGGTTATTATGGGTGAAAATAATTTCAGATAAAATTGTAGACTTTCAGAATCCATAACTGATGAGCAAGCAATTAGAAATCTTTTAGGAAATTTTTGTTAAGGGAAAGAAAAGGCATTCTTTTTTCATCAGATGCCATGGCAAATGTATCTGCAATTCTTGAACACTTTCCTCCTTTTCTATGCAGTGAAATTTTGGGTTAAACTTGGCTCCTTTTCAGGAATTGCTGAGTAAATTCTCCATGTATAAACTCTTGTAATTCCAAACATTTATTTGCTATGCCAAGAGCTGTATATGCAATATTGTCAGTTAACTCAAGTTTTCCTTTCTCCTTAAGAATATCTTATCTTGTTTGAAATGAACAAACTTGAATATCTGATAAATTGCTCAAATCTGAGAATATTCATTGATGCTTAAATTTCATTTTATTTGGTCAAAAAAACTAAACAGGGCAGTATTGATGTGAGAGAGTCTGAGGGAGAGAGTCAACAGCAGCAATTTTTTTACATTGAGGAACTTGTTTTGGAAAACTAGAAGCTTTGTTTGACTTGTCTTTCTGATGTAAAGATTTTGAATTGTCAGGCTTTCCCACAGTTAATTTCTCTTTCCCCAGAGGTAGAGAAATGTAGCCAGATCTATTTGTTGCAATAATTACTGGAATACCACATCTACATGATCTTTCCACAATAGACTATATTGTTTCTGATAAAGGCTAAGGAGAATCAATCACATTTTCCACATACAGTTCATGCAAAGTTTATATAAAATAGATCAAATTTCCTTTTTCCCGTGAAAATAATAGTGTGGTAAAGTGGGAAGAATAAATACAGAATTTTTAAATCTTGTGAACTTTTTAAATGAAAAGTTAAAGAGGTTTTTAATTCTAAAGTAGGGCAGTGGATACCTGGGTGAGTGAGATGTGCCTTGAAAGAAAGAATGTACTATACCAGAGCTAGTAATATTTTGTTTGGGGTGTAGTGGGAAAACCACATTTTCTATGCGCATCTTAAAACTTGCTCTGAACTGGGCATCTTCCTTTTTATGATTTACAACAAATCCATTGTTGTGTTATTACAGATTATTTAATCTATTTTAAACTTTAAATTCTTAGAAGGTAGAAACTACATGTAGAGATTAGCAAGATACTTTGCAGAATTACACAAGTCTCTGCATGTTTATGTTCTAGCCATTCAAATCTACTACTGATTCAAAATTGTTAGCAATCACAGCTAGCTGATTAAATGCAGGTACCTGCAGCAATCCAAGGATTGTTTAGAGACACTGAAGAATTAATCATTTGCTATAGCTGTTTTTTATTATCTTCCTATGCACTTTAATTAAGGATCTGTTTGGCACTGAACAGATCTTCAGTCCTCTTATTATACTTAGTCACCATACTGGATTACAATACAAATTTGTCACCTACATTTACTAACCATTGTACTTGCTACTCTATAATCTGGCAATCACCAAAGATCAGAATACCTTAGGTGGCTACGGTACTCATGTTTTAAGAAGAAGTATAGTTTGTATGACTTGCCAATGCATTCATAACCTAATTACATATTTTAAGGTTTGGTAGGAAATGAATAATATATTTGAATGTCAGATTCTGAGGGAGGAGTAGATCATACTCTCTGTTGTTGCCATAAACTCAGTGTGAAATGTATTGAATAGATATATCTGCCTCTTCCTATGCAGTATAGTTCTAATTCTGAGGAACTATAAAAGGGTTCTTTTTGCCTCATTTGTTTGGTAGAGTTAGAAGAAGCATTTTTGACTTTTCTACAGAAAAGAACAGTGATCTGGCATACTGAAGGCAGTACAGTATTGTGAATTGCTGGTACTGAAATGTGTAACAATACATATTTTATACGTAGAAGAAAAAAATGTGGAGGGTATTTTAAAGTCTAGCTATTTCCCTCTGCTGGTTGTAGCATAATGCAGTATGCTTTTATGAAAAGGCATGCAGGAATTTGTATTGTGTGTCTGATTCCAGAATATCAAATAGCTGCTTTAACACCATGTTCGCTAGGAATAAATTTCTGAAATAGACTGGAATTATATTCTAAACATGTCCGCTAATAAAATGGTAGGTATCAAAACAAAACAAAAATAAAAAATAAAACTCATGCTGGACAAATTTTGAGCAGATTGAGAAAATCCAAATTTAGAATCCTGAAACTGAATTTTAATATAAGTTCCAGTAAGAGAGCATAGTTGTTGGTTATTGTTGAAAATTATGGGAATTGCAATATAGGCTAAATTTTCAAACCTGAAACAGGCTGTCAGCAGTTTCAATAATTGGAAAGGTCCATTTTGTGTTTAGAAGATTCCATAATAACCTTTTGTACAAGGTTGATCTCAACACACACAAAGAAAACTAAATTGGGGAAAGATAGTTTTAAGTCATAACTCCATGTATTTAATGGGTTTTAAGTGGGGCAGTTTCACATATTGTGTAACATACAATGAAGGCGTTACATCTGGGCCCAGTTGTCAACTTTCATGCCTTATATATCACTCAATATATAATGTAGAAATAACAGTGCCTTAAAATCAGTATTTTACTGAACGATTGAAATATAAGTTCATGCAAATTCTTAAGTTTTAATAAAATGGTTATGCAATGAATAGTCTCCCTCTGTATATTTACCATAGAAGGATTTGAATGTATGTTTATGCTTTGTTACAGTTGGTACATTGCCTGATGGTTTTCATACAAAAACCTTCAGCCTTATGAAACGTTAAAATAAAGTTATTTAAAGTTAAACAAATATGTGTCCTTTGTCCTATATTTTATGCACTGATAGACCCAAGAATGAATAAGCACATTGACAGTTTAGTGAATATCTGCTTAGAAAGCTTGTATCCAGTGGTGAAATTCATTTTTTAAACTATGGGTTCTGTGGGTGTGGCTTGGTGGGTGTGGCAGGGGTAGGACACTGCAAAATCAATTCCCACCCCACTCTGGTACTTGCCAGTTCTCCAAACTACTCAAAATTTTGGCTATCGGTTCTCTGAACTACTAAAGATTTCCTCTACCGGTTGTCCAGAACCTGTCAGAACCTGCTGGATTTCACCCCTGCTTGTATCCAATCCATCGTTTAAACATAATTTTCTTCATATGATTGATAGAAGTGTTTATGAAGGCAGTTTTATGCATGTGATGAAGATTAGCAAATGAGGGAAGCAGAGCATGTGTGAAAGTAAATATAATACTTAGCTAATGGTTCATCAGTAAGCAGGGAGTAAAATGTACTATGTGTTTCATTTTCAATGCATTTTTGAATATAATAAAAGTTTGTTGGGAAGGTAGATTTTTTTTGAAAAGTTTTATTATTTTAATTAAAAACACAAAAAAAGAATCATCCTTTGTTACATCTTGTAGAAAGCGTGTCGATTGGTTACAAATACATTTCGTGCGTTTCTTCCACAATCATTACATATACTTCATTCATATTGTACATTTTAAATCAAAAATCTTTATGTATTTTACTATCAATGTACCACAATTCTCATTTAACTACAATTA